AGACTTGGGCCACTCAATTTGTGGTGTTATCACAGACATGGGAACCTAATGCACTTCCCTTCTTGCTGGTGAGTTCTGGGCTCTTAACAAGTCCTTCAAAGTCAAGATCAACTTCCTGTTACCACTGCTCTGCTGCTGTCAAGAAGCCGGTGATGGAGATGAGCCGCCTGGGTGGTTACCTGAGCCTCTGCCACCTGTGGAACAAAGAACTTCATTGAATTGCACTGCCTGTACAGAAACTGGCCAGGTGGGGGTGGAAGGCCAGTAAGGCTGGAGAGACTACAGGAGTTTCCTCTCAGGACTCAGCCTGGAGCTCTCCAGTCCCCTGAGGATGACTTCACAGCCCTTGTATGTGATCCTCCTGCCTAGTATCGATTGTCCATCATCAAGGCTAGAGGTCAGCAGGACCCCTGGATCTATTTCAGAAAAAGTATGACTAAGACCTGGGAGGATCAGAATTTCCAAGGGTAAACAGAGGAGGGCCTCAGCCATGGCATCCTGACCCCTTATCAGGAAAAAATGATTCATTTTTTTTTAAAGAGAGACAGAATTTTAATATTTATTTTTTAGTTATTGGCAGACACAACATCTTTCTTTGTATGTGGTGCTGAGGATCCAACCTGGGCTGTACGCATGCCAGACGAGCCGCTACCGCCTGAGCCACATTCCCAGCCCCAAATGATTCATTTTGGACATGGGTTGAAGCACTCTAAACTTGTCTTCATCCCTTAATCCCCATTTCCTTCCCCATGAGCAGCAGTCCTGCTTGCTGCCTGAACACCAGCCAGTTATCAGCACTGGGATGAGTTACATTCTCAAATAACCTTGCAAGAGGCTTCAGGGCTGGAGAGAAAGATGGAAAAAAGCCCCCAATTTACTTAAAAGGACTTTATGGTCAGACTTAAACGCTTTTCTTCCCCAAACCTGGGCTACTGCCCTGATACCCTTCTTTGGTCCCCAGTCTGGGCTCTGACTCACGCCTTCTGAATCTACCCTTGTCTAGGCAAGACTGTCCACTCACCTGTCCGCTGGCCCTGAGGCCCGCGGCCTCGGGAGGGTCAGTCAGAAAGGCGGTGACAGGAAAAAGTGCGGTGGTGGGGGCGGAGGGAAGACTGGCAGCGGCCAGGGGTCGCGGGGCGTGGGCGGCGCAAGCAGGTTGAAAGGCGAGGGTCGAGCAGGCAGCGGCGGTAGCGGCTGCTGC